GCAAAACTTTAATCTAACTTTTTTTCAGAAAACTGCACGGAAAAACTGTATGTATTAGCATTAATGTTCCGATTAAAACAGCAGTTTAATTGGAAATCTTGTTAATTCAATGACACAGAATTAAACAAATAACATTTTATTTAAACAAGAGTAAGGTATATTTATTTCATTAATATTATCTGAATTAACAAAATTATTTTCAATTATAAATCTCTATTAACTAATGCTGGTTAATATATTTTTTTATGTGCTATATGTAAAAGAAATTATTTTATAATTTTTTTATAGTACAAACAAAAGATATTTTTAAAAAAAACTTTAAAGCAATAAATCATCTTATAAGAATTAAACAGAAAATATACATAGAACATTTCAGTATTAAATATGTATAATTTTTCTTTAATGGAAGCAAAATTGATAAATAATAATTAACTCATCTTTAAATATCATTTTATTTAGCGACATATTTTTCATTATTCAAATCACAATTCATTACCTACAATAAAATTCAAAGATGTGTAATTAGTAATTATTGATGCTTAACAATAGTACTATAATTATCCATACGTCGTTAAATAATATTTTAATACATCAATGATAATTGATTTCCTACAAGAAAACATAAATGATTTCATTAAACATAATCGTGAGTTATAATCATAATAGTCGTTCATGTGTCGATTTTGTGATAATATTGTAACTGATTTTAATTCTAATCATTGATTTTTTTGTATTTCTTTTTATGATCATCAATAACGTTCCACAACGCCAAAACAGCTAAAATAATTCAAAATTCCTTAAAATTTCGCTTAGATTCGAGCAATCATATATCATTTTTTAATTAAATTTATATATCTTGTTCAACAAATGTAAAAAATAGGAGCAAAAAATTAGAAGAAAATTGTATATGACATATAATTACTTTATATAATTTCTAATTAAATGAACTGTAATATACATACACACATACATACAAGAAAATGCATGTGTGTGTGTGTGTGTGTGTGTGTGTGTGTGTGTATGTATCGCGCGCGCGCGTATATACAGGGTGTTTGGAATAAATCTTCCGCATAGGAGCAGAATGAACTAAACTAAGACGAAAAGTCCTCTATCATTTTGCAATTTTTGCAATAGTAACATAGTTTATTTTCTTCTCATAGAACTTTACGAATTTTTTCAGAATTTTTTATCAACTTTTTAGTACTGCATTTTCATTTTTACCAACAGAGAAATTAAAATATGGTATTAAAAAATTCTTAAAAAATTCGAGCTCTATGAGAAGAAAATAAACAATTTTTGTCTCTTGCAATTTTTCTGTAAAGTTGATAGTATTTGAATAAAAAATTATTGAAGACCAATTTTCGGCAATTTTTAGCAATTAATATCTTAAACTATTGCGAGAATTGCAAAATGGACTTATGGAATAGAGGACTTTTCTTTTCAGTTCAGTCCATTCTGTCTCTATGCGAAAGATTTATCATTACTTTCCAAACAATCTGTATGTATGTATGTGTGTGTGTGTATATATATATATATATATATACATACGCATATTCTTGATCTTTTTAGAATTAAAATATTTCATAATCAATTCCATTTGTAAATACTCCAGCAATTTTAATTGAGCATGAAAATCTTATCTTAAATCTATGTTCCGAAAAGAAGATACAAATATTTTTTCATAACTTGTATTTTATATAGGACTTAATAAAACAATATTCTGTTTTAAAAATTACTAGAAATCAAGGGAAAAGGTAAAACAGAGAGAACATTGGAATAAATCTAACTATCGCAGTTTAACACGTTAAGTTACAAGCCAATCTCAGAATTACAATCAAAGTCTTCCTGGAGTGAGAACTTAACATATACATTATTTCTCTGATACATATATATTTATGTTCATTTAAGCATAAATTACCTTGTAAAATCATAATGATACATATGATAAAATACATAATATATTAATTTATATTTTATGCAAGAAAGCTAAAATTGATTTTCTGAAATCGCACTATATTGATTTATCTCTTGTGCTAATCTCACATATTTTACATTGCGAATGTAAATTATGTTCTTTCATAATGACATTACAAGTTACATGTAACAGGATTACATATGAATTATCTATCTTTAAAATTCATGATCTCCAAAAAATCTATGTCTCTCAGAATGTAGAAATATACGTGTAGATGAAATATTTTAAAACATTGATTTAAAGAAAGTGAGCCTTTGATCCCGCGATATACCATATTAAGAGGGTGTATTACTTTAGAAGATAAAAAAAAATGATTTTTTTTCAAGGAAGCGCCTAATATTTATCGTTTTAAAACTTTTTGCACATTTTAATAACTATTGTAAAATACAAATTGTATACAAATTGTGAAAAAAAGTATTATAAATAATAAAAATGTAAACATTTAATTTGATGCCTCGCCACATGATGTTTTATGATGTCATCTTAGCGATTGTAATTCTTGCAAATAAAAAATTAAGAAATATTTTTAATTTTTACAGAATTTTATTCTAAATAAATATTTAAAAAATTTAAAAATATATATATATACATAACAAATTAAAATTTTATGTATGTTTGAAAAAAGTTACAATTTTTATTAAGTAGCAGCTGTTCCTTTATGTAAAAAAAATTGTTAATGTTGATAATTTTTATTTAATTTTTAAGTCATCGAAGATAGCTGACTATTAATCAATTAATGAGCCCTATAAAAAGCTGATTGATCAAGTAATTTTTTTCTCAATCGTGTACACAAAATTGAAAAAAATGCAAAAAACAGATTTCGAGAAAAACGTTTTAAAGTTTTTGGTTTAGTTCTTGAACCTCACAATGCTCGGAGGCTAATCTGCTATTCCAGGGACAATAATCTTTCAGCTTTCGCATGGAATTCATTTTGAGCAATTTGATTTGAGTTATTCTACGAGCTACTTGGACCTCTCTCATGATACTAGCAAGAGAATCATTGGAATTGATCATCACCGATTTTAATGAGCTTTCGATATGTTGTAGAGCATAAAAAAATATAATAGACCTATATTTTTTTATCTCGAGGTTTAGGGGATGAAATACTTCCTTGAAAAAGATTGATTTTTTTTCTTTCGAAGCGAATATCATTAAAATTATAAGAGAAAGAAAAAATTTTCCAAAATGAAAATTGAATAGCTTCAAAAAGTACTTTGGAACAAAGCTGGGATTTAGTTGCTTAGCTTGGTTCCTGCTTCTTACTTCATCCAATTCGCACCTAAATGCTGATCGGCAGTAAACTGAAAATCGGCCAAAATGTGCAACTAAATTCCAGCTTTGCTTTAGAACTATAACAAAATTTTTTTTAATTCTTATTAAAAATTATTTATTTATAATAAAAATTTGTTTTATTACAGTTCTAAAGTATTCTTGAAGTCATTCAATTTTCATTCTGGAAAATTTTTTCCATCTGTTATAGTCTTTCGATATTCGCTTTAAAAGAAAAAAAACCGATTTTTTTCGAGGGGGATTTTTTTCTATTTCATCCTCTAAACCTCGAAATAAGTACAAAAAAAAATATGGATCTAATATTTTTTCATACTCTACACATATCCAAAGCTCATTAAAATCGGTGAGAATCAGTTCCGACGGTTCCTTTACAAGTCGTCGGCGTTCCTGTCTGGAAATTCATCTATATCTGCACGCCGTACATCCATATATACAAGCATTTATACCAAAGAATTTTGCTCTAAAATTTTAGGAATATATTCTCTCTTGAAGAGTTGTACTATCGATTCATGAAAAAAAAATCGATTTTTTTTTAATCTATGAAGTAGGATACCCCCTTAATGGCAAAACTTATGATCAATTTTTGATTGGAAGATATTAGATGTTTCTCAGAAACATCCAATACATGATTTACATTATTTTAATTCGTAATAAATTCGAATTAAATAAAATACTTTTAATTCAGCCGCTCGTGATTTCTCTTCTCCCAACATTATACGAAAATACATATCTACGATTCCCTAAGCGAAGCAAATTAATGAAAATGCTTATTGAAGTATGTATCACACTATAAATGCGTAAAGAATTACATAGTAATAAAAAAAGCCAATTATCACGTTTCATAATTCACAATTTATTTCAAGTTAAAGGATGAAAAATAATTTTTCATATTATATAATATTGATACTGTTTGTCAATGCATTTAAAAGTTTACGCAAAAACGAAATTTAGTTTTAGTCTAATCACAATTTTTCTCCACATATTCATGGAATAAAATATTTTATAAATTAACTTTATTACAACCAAATTAATCTTTATCATTTGCTTGAACACAAATCAGAGTCAGTACAAAATATGTATAATAAAACGCTTTACTATTAGATTAAGAATTGGCCAATCAATGTATAATCAATACATTATTACAGTATAATTATTTAAAAACCATACCATATTAAAAGTTTAATAATTTAATAATCTCAATTACAATGTGGCAAACAGAATTATTGAGCAGTAATCTCATCATGTAGCTAGTGTTTTAACTTCCACATTAGATCGGGGAAGACATTTAATATATTAACACAATTATAAGTTGCTACGTCTTATGGTAAGATAACAAATTTCATCAAGGAGTCCCACACGCACACGCACACGCACACACATACACACGCGCGCGCGCGCGCTTGCTCACACTCAAATATTATTACTTTTCTAATAATGAAGGTGTATATAATATCTTCTTATGTGATATTATAATATGCAATTTAAAATGCTAATGATGCCTTGAAGTTTCCTCGATTGGACCGTTAATTTATTATTTTATTACAAAACGGAGTTAATGAAAACTAAGATAAAAATATGTCTAAAGAAATAGATTTAGATATTGTGATTTCAAATAAATTCAATAAAATTCAACAGTTCTGCTTTAAATAAAAATAGCACAATAGCCAATATATAAAATGTTGGAAGAACATCATTGGCATGAATTTATAAACAATAAGACAGAGAGAGAGAGAGAGAGAGAGAGAGAGAGAGAGAGAGAGAAAACAGATATGGAAAGAGAAAGAGACTTCTTGCAAAATATTGACAATCCGTTTCAGACAGAATTGGCTTATGCAGTTCGTTGGATGATGTGAATTCCGCTATCTGTATGCACAGGTGATGACAGCTCGCCAACTTTCAGCGCGAATGCTGCCTGTTCGAAGGGTTTCTGCATTGCACCCCGACTGAAAGGTCCGAGATCACCGCCGCGCTTTGCCGAACTACAATCACTGTATTTGGAGGCAAGTTCAGCGAACGTCGCTTTACCAGATGCAATTTGTTCTCTATAAGCTGTTAAAAAGATATTTTTATAGTAATTACAAAAGGTTACTAAAAGGTATTAAATATTTCAGTGTTATAGCGTAAGTTATCGCGTAAAATTCAAGCAGTAGACATACATTTGACCAAATCGAGAGCTTCTTCTTTTGACCTAGTAATATTCTCCTCTCGCCAGGAAGAAGGTCGTCGAGAGCCTGAATGTTTTACAAGTAAATGAGAACATTGCACTTCTTCAGGTCCATCTGTTTTGCCATTGCCAGATGGATCGGCAGGTTTATCTGGTCTATCCCACTGACTTTCCTTGGTATAAATGTTTAAATAATAGTGTTGACCTATAATAATTTTATTCATTTCAGAAACTAAAATACTAATATTAATAAACTTAAGTAGGTTTTTTTTTATCACTATTTTTATCACTATGCTTTATCAGCTCTATGATATTTCACATAAAGCAAAACTTAATATCAAACATTTTAAATTCAGTGAATATTATGATCATGTTCAAGAAAACCGAGGATCAATTGCAATTTTTAAAGGAAGCCTTAGATTAGAAATAGAAGTAACTAGATTAAACTAGAACTATTTTCTTCCATTATACATTCTCATCCAAAAAATTGGAAACACTTTAAAAATTTTGAGATTACTTAATATTTATATATTCATACCAATGTATGTTATGTTTCTATAATAATAATTCTTTAGATCCAATAACTATTGTTGACTCTGAAGAATTATTGCTAAAAGAACATCTTATTATAGATAATAATCTAAAAAAAATTTTTCAAACTTTTATGACCCGGAGTAAATTGATGCAGAAACAATAAAAGCAATTGTGTACTGAATTTTTAAAAAGTTTATACATGATTAATAAAGCAATCAATTCGCTGAAGTTGAAATCAACAAACCGATAGACAATGTTAATAAAAATCAATTGATAATGAGTGCGGGATATTTTCTAGTCGTTTTTCAGCAAAATCCAATCATCTCCAGCACTCAGTACACTATTCGATCTTTCGTCTCTAACCGAGATTCTATAATAAGTCGATAATATTCTACAATAAGTCCAAAAGCGGTCCTGAATTTTAAACGGTACTTGGCCAATAGCCAACTTGTACGACTAATTGTAAGATGATTCTACAATGAATTGGTAGTCTGTAGTCCTACAGTTCGTATCAGACTATCGATCTCATCAGACTCTTCAGGATGATAAGATTGCTAATTCTGATCAAATATATTGAATCAGTCTTACTGTAATTGGTCCATTATTGATCTGCAGTCAGAATTGGAAGTCAGCCTGTAAAATCGATAGTCTGATACGGGTTTAAATCTTATCAGTGAGTATTACCGGTGAAGTTGGCCAACAGTCAACTTATACAACTGAGACTATCAATTTTCTTAAGACATAGAGCCAGTTGTTCTACCTTTTGGTAAATTTTACCAGTGAGGTAAATCTGGTAATCCGCGCGTGTGATTGGATAATATTGCTACTTACTCAACAGGTAAAATTTATCAAAAGATGGACCGGTCGTTAGTCAAATTCAATTTTATTCCTTTCTATTAGTCGAACTAAACGATTGCTATATAATTAATGATTTGCTATATAATTAACAACTTATAGATGTGAAAAATCATATAGTGAATTCGCAAACTACACTAGTAGGTATTGAGTGCTTTTTCAGTGCCGCACATTCGGCTTATGCGCATTATATCAGTGCATTTGGATTGTATATATTGTCATATTCGGCAAATAAAAACTGACTCAGTGTAGTAAATTTATATTTGGACTAACCAAATGAATTGAACAAGTTCAAAAAATATTGCACTGACGTTTCTGACAGTGCAGTTTGGCATAGTACCAGTGGTTCGACACTTACACCATAGACCTGTTCTTTTTGACTAATTTTTGCACCAGTTCATCTTTCTTCCTTTTCTCTCTAGGAGGAAAGAAGAGGAAGAAAAATGAATTAGTACAAAAGTTCAGCCAAAAAGAACAGGCCTCATGTTAAGGCAGCATCAGAACAGAGTCTGTGTGTTAAATTCATTAATAGTTATCTATTTAGGTTAAGACTGAATAAAACTTAAAATCTCTAACTACAGACTCATTGTAGAATTAACTCAACTGGTTAATGAAACTTCTGATTACAGACTTTTGTAGAACCCGATAAAAGATTCGCATCAATTACGATCGACTACATACGTAATACAAAAACTTGTCGAGGGAACATCGAGGAGTATCGGACACTTGTCTTGACCACTGCGAATTGATTAGCATCAGCGAAATATCAGTGAAATATTATATGTTGAGAGGCCCGTAATCTCGCTCCGAGAGCAAAGCGCGACTATGAAATCGTGGATTCCACGATGCCTCGTGTTGAGACTCGCGCCTTAACAAGATTGCCGTTCATGGGGTTGCAACTGCAAAAATCTTCGGTTTCGACGTACCAGTCGATCTGCTGAGGCGTTTCTCCCATCCTGCTGGTAGCTCCTCGTCCGCCATTACCGTCGTAGTGTATTTTCGAATTGTGTTTTGCTGTTCTCTTCGCTGGCACTCTCTATATCAAACTTATAGACATTAGTAAGAATAGACTCGCGTAGACGGTTATGGCTTCTGCACATAAAACGCGGCAACGCTTGCCGCGTGGCAGAAGTTGGCGCGATAGTTAGGAATGCGCGATTTTTACCGATTTATCGATACAATCGATTTTTTTTTGTCAAAATGTTATTTTTGGCTAATATTTTTAGAGGCCGATTTTTTTAATTGAATATCGTAGATATTCACAATCGTAACTGCGTTCGGTATTTACTGAATGCAAACGACAACCGCTCACTGAACGTTCAGATTGATATATTCCCTTAGATTCTAAAATATAGACCAATCAGATGAAAGAGCTTACTGAGTGCTCAGTGAGCGGTTGTTCTGAATGCACCCACTGGCTATTACTCACTGGCTTAGTTTCCATCGATGGTTTAAACCGGATCTGTATATGAATGTAAGAACCAACTACAGTCGAGCATTCTCCTGTCGTTCGACTGTAACAAGGGAATACTCGATTGTAGTTGGTTGGTTCTTACATTGGCTGCGTTCAGCAGAACACAGTTTTACAACCGTTTTATAATTGTCTGCTGAGATAGGATCATTCTTCTAGATCTAAAAATATAATCCAATCAGCGCGAAGAAAACTTCCAACAGTTGCAAAATAAACGTTCTGCTGAATGCAACCATTCTGATCCGGTTTAAGGATACTGTCCCACATACACGGAATCGGAACGACGGAACGGATTTCTTATTAAAAAAAATTGAATTCATTACAATTCCGTTCCGTAAGAAATTTCTTTACCCGTCCCATGTAGACGGAACGGAATGGAAACAGACGGAATGTTACCTCGGTCGCAAGCTAATTTGCTTAATTTAATTGATATTTCGTTATTTTAATGCAACTAAAACAGTAATATGTTTAATTCGTGCAATTATCTTACAATTATCCTAGCAAACGAGTATGGATTAAAATAGTTTAAAATTTTTTTCTATCTGAATGCGTATTTTAAATAGCGAATACTTTTTTTGGATTTAATTAAATTCAATTGGATTCAATTAGATTCAATTGGTTGCAATTGGATTGAGAAACTGCATTTCCTATTCAAAATTTTGAATTGAACAGTATTCACAATGTGTGTGTTGTGCACAGAAAAAACTAATATTACTTTTAGATTGAAAGGCATAGGGATATGCTCCAATTCCTATAAATGAATAAAAATGCATTCAGGATTGAAAAGCATTCATTTTAACATTCGTGAATCAATATTTCTGACAATCTGAATCCATTTCAATTCATTTCAATTCATTCTCGTTTGCTGGGCTATAACATTACTTTGAATATTCAAAAAATATTTAATTATAAGAGTGAAATATATTTTGTTACTAAAATTCCATTGTGTTCCGGCGACGGGTAGAGAAAATTTTTATGGAACAGAATGGCATATTCAACTGAGTTGGTTGAATCTAAAAATTGAAACGAATATTCAAAAACATTTTTTATAAATCTACAGCAATGGATGAAGAAGTAGTGTTATTACTAATGTTAAAATTATTGCAAAAGGCAAGAAATGTTGGCGTGCTATTCCAATATTTAAGAGTATGCGAAAATTTTATTTTGCTTATAACGTTTTATTGCAACAGCAGAAATATACAAGAAAACGAAAATTCTGAATACAGTCAATATTTACACAAAGAATGAGGCGGCGCACCAGAACGCAAATGACAATTTAATCCTTAAGATGCAAACGACCTATCATGAGAAATTCTTCAATTATTTCAGAATGACATCAGAATTATTTAAAAAATTACTGGCATTATAGTTGGACTATGTATACCAGGTGTATGTATAAGTTTTTTCCGGTTTTTTGGTAAAAAAAGAACACGTAATTTTCAAGGGAAATTAATTTTTTTTTATTCAAAATATTGGCTTCATTAGCTGTAATGCTTCTGCTAATTGCCGTTGAGTTTGAGTTGGGTTTTCATCCAATAACTCCTGCAATTGCTCGTCTTCGCATTTTTGTGGTCTACCAGAGCTCACTGTCTTTCACATTGAAATCACTATTTTTAAATTGTCAAAACCATGTCTCACATGTTCTAATCGATGGAGCGTGTTCACCATATGTTTCTACCAGCAAACGATGATTTTCAACAGCCTTTTTCTTTTGATTAAATAAAAAAAGCAATGCGTGCCGCAAATGTTCTTTTTCAGGCACAAAACTCGACATGATCACTGAACGATAAAACAAAGACGCTAGTTTTTGGCGGACTTAACTTGTGTGTGTTTGTAGTTAAATGTCAGACGAACAAAATGGCGTATGTGTCAAATTAATACGCTGCGTACTTTTCACTGGCGCCATCTCTTAGTTAAACCGAAAAAAACTTATGCATACACCTGGTATATAAAACAAGAATATGTCATATTGAAAAATAAAAATTATTATTAATTTTCTTTTTCGAAGTTGTCAAATTCTCAATCATCAACAATAGCCAAATCAACATAGTCTGCAATCGACATGACATTCTGTTGATTCCGTATCGTTTCTATACCATTCCGGCCACGATTCCAGTGATTCTGATACAGTAGAGAAACTTCTTATGGAACGGAATGCTAGTGAATTGATTTTTAGTAAGAAATCTGTTCCATCGTTCCGATTCCGTGTACATGGGACGGCATTCTAAATCCTCGGTGAAAATTAGGCCATTGTCAGTAGTATTACCAATACACATTAGGGGCTCCGCACAATAAAAGGAACAGGGAACAGAGAACAGAAAATAAGAATTTCAATTTATCAGAAATTATGTATTGTATATGTGGAATACACATGTTGAGTAATAAAATGATAAATATATATAAATAAGCAGCCTACGTATAAAAACATTTTGTGTCATCATTATCTTTAATTAAGAATTTTTTTAAATGGAATTGCATTCATTTTCATCACATGAATCTAATGCCCGTATTCATAGTCAGACCTTATACTTAAGGCTTTCTTAAATTTATCTTTAGATGCTTAGCAGCCAATGAAATAATAGAGCATCTAAAGATAAATTTAAGGAAGCCTTAAATATAAGGCCTGACTATGAATACGGGCATAATACTTCCATGTAAACAATATGGGACGCCATTTTTATTTTACACTAAAAACGGTTTTTATTCCTTGCCTGCACGCTTATACTCATCAGTTCTGGATTGCACTAGTTTAGAGTGTCGATTCTATATTTTCAAACAAGATGAAAATTACAAAAGTAGCAAATTAGTTAAGCGTTGACCAATGAAATTATCAGTATTCTAGAAAATTCGCTCACTTTTAATTTTCATTTCGTTTCAAAATACAGAATCGATTCTCAGTTCAGTTCTAGTGTAATCCTCGTGCAGGAATAGAAAACAAACTTATGATTTCTGATAGGTTGAAAATCTTATTCTCTATTCTTTGTTCCCTCTTTCTTTTATTGTGAGGAGCCCCATAGTGAGTAAAAAGTTTACTACACCATTTAAAGCGTTTCTTACAGCTTAAAATTTAAAACAAAAATCAATTAAAATTCAAATTTCTGTAAATTCATAAAATCTTGTATCTAGAAATCAGTCTGAGATCTCGGACAGAAAAAGAATTAACGAATTATGTTTAAACACTTCGATCACATAACTGACATGACTAATATGATTGGTTAATTTTTTCTTCATCCAAGATCTTGAATCGATTACCTCCGGATCTACAATAGATTTTTAAAGCTTTAAGCCATAAGGAATGGACGAATCATAATCAATTATTCTCCTCATATTCGACTTTAGTTGGTCAATTTCTTACGGCTTAAGACTTAAAACACCTGTAGATTCGGACTTAGCATCAGTGGATACAAGATTTAGCATTCCAATATAGGCTACGTTCCACATAATGCTCACAACATTTGTGAAATTATTTCATTCTTGTCGTTTATCAAATGTTAAATAAGGATAAATAATGCTCGCGAGTGTTGTGAATGTTAAGTGAAACACAATGGGTGTTTTCCATTTGATGACACAAGTAGCCATAAACATCTTTCTTGACATTCAGAGGCCTAGTTTACATCGAGAGTTCGATTCGAGTCGGTATGTAAGAATTCAATCAACTGCAATCGAGCATTCCCTTGTCATTCGATTGTAACAGGGGCTCGACTGCAATTGATTGGTTCTTAAATTCTGACAGTTTGAACCCTCGGTGTAAACTAGACTAAAGAGTGACAAAGATAAATGCTTGTGTCGATTTGTGTCATGAAATGAAAAATCACCCAGCCTAAATAAGTCACGGCACGCCAACTGCATTCGTATTCGCATTCGCATTCGCATTTGCGACAGCCAATCGTAAGCGGCAATGGTATTAACAACAGCTTTTGATTGGGTGTCGCGAATGCGAATGCGAATGAGTTTTGTGTGTTGCGACTTATTTATATGGAGCTTTATTGATGTTTGTTTATAATTCAAATTTCATATGATAATAACCTAGTTTACATCGTGCACTTGATATACGTACTAACTAGTAACTATTAAATTATTTTAATTTTATCAATGTATTGGATCATCTAAAAAATATCCGCGGTTTTTTGTCACTAGATGTGTGTTGATGGTCATATATCTAGTGACAAAGTACCGCGGATACTTTTTAGATGACCCAATATATATATTTAATTAATCATGATATATATTGTCCAATTTAGTACATTATTTTTTAAATACATTGTTAAAATTAAAATAATTTAATAGAAAGTTACTAGTTAGTACGTGTATCAAGTGCACGATGTAAACTAGGCCACTATGATGTGACCGGTGACGTATCTTTTTAGTGGAAAATTATACAGGTTTACAAATTTCAACATTTTAGATTAATATCAGGAGGCTTAAGGTCGATCATAAAATTTGTATATTGTTATAAATATAAAAATGTATCCAAACGAGAATGTAGAGCAAACGAGAATAGATTAAAATGGATTAAAAATTTTTTAATACTTTAAATCCATGAAAATGGATTGAATGGATTGAAATAGATTGGATCCGAGCTGACACTAGTTTAATATTCGAAAAAAAAAACATTCATCTTTAAGGATTACAAATTTTATTCCTAAGATATTTATAATAATTATAAATATCTGAAATTAATTACTTCAAATTGATATTAAAAATCTTGGTAGAATTTGAGAACTTGGGATCTCTGGATTATGAATCTTCTACGTTACCCTTCTACATCACTTCTTCAATTAATAAATGTGTTATTCATTCTCTACTTCAATTACAACCAACTAAACTAGTAACG